GTTAAGAGGAATACTTTGCCTCTGTTAATTCCTGTAGCTCCAGGCATCTTTTGGCTTATGGGGGTATATAACTCCCACCTCTGCTTTCCTTCCAGGTCATCTTCCCTCTCCAACTCTATGTATTCCCTCTTCTTAGGACACCAGTTATTGATTGGTGGAGGACCCACCCAACTCTAGTAGAACCTTATGTTAATGAATTTTATCTATATAGACTCTTCTTCCTCCAAATAAGACCTCAGCCATAGCAATAATGTTCAACCCTAACAGGTTAGCACCTTGTCACTCACTCAGTGATACTAAATGGTTTCAGGCACTGGACGTTGAATTCCAGAGTAGGATTTTTTTTGTGTGTGTGACATATTATTTTCATGATCACTAGGATAATGATAGTTTCCAGAGAACAAAACAGAAACCTAAAAATATTCTCCTTGTGGGTTTAACTGGGTCTTTCAGCTCATATTTCGAGTATGATTAAGCCAGAACCAAACAGTCCCCCACCCAAGGAAAAGAAAACCCACAAATAGTAACCAAAGCATCTCATTGCTGATTTTGGACAGTGAAAGGAGGATTAGTCTTAAGCCCCTGGCCTAGTACTTGGGTGGTTTTGCTTACATGACTGCTGTGAGCTATTAATAGACTGTGGTCTTCTGAAACGCCTCCCCTATTCAGTCCAAAATGCTATTGTCCCTCTTGGTCGGCAGTCATGTGGTTTCAGCCTGTCTCTTGCTTTGTCACTTTCATTTGCTTAAATCATACCCTCAGTGGTATCACTGCTCCAAGTTACTTAGCATATCAGGATTCATTATGGTTTTGATAACTGGTTTCTTTTGTCTTTTCTGGTTTTGTTTAAAATATGAGGCTATTTTGTATTGAATGGGGGAGTATTTTGTAAAAAAGGAATCTATACACAGTTGACTTGGAAAAATATTTAAACATACTTATTCATGTGAATGTGATTAAATATTTTCCTATCTAAATTTGGAAGGGTGCGCAAGATAGAGGAAGAAATTACATTATTTAAAATTCAAGACTTTATCTGGAAATGGATATTTCATGTAGAAGCTTAACATATGTGCTAAGGAAAGAATTGATCTAAAAAGATAAATAACTTTGAAAATAATACCTCCTCAAAAACAAAAATGTTGCTGTTGACAGTAGCTTTGTAAACCCATAAGAGAGAAATTCAGAATTACAGTCGTGGTGTTACAAGTTGCTACAATTCTCTCCTTTATAAAGATGCTGGGAATTAATGTACTTTGATTGCTTCAGGAATGATTTATGTGTTGCACTTTTAATTTATTTAAAGCATATCTGCTGTTTGTCCTAAGTAAAATGTTTTCACCAAACGTGCTCTGTGTTTAAGAATATGCTTAGGCAGTAGTTAGCATCTCCTAGAGTAAAACTGGAATTGTAATGTCTGTAAAGTCTATGGCAGAATTCCCATTTTGTGGCATTCTGTATCATTTACTGTCAGCCTAAAGTCATAGATTCTCTGAAGCTCTTCACCTGGTTGTGGTACCAT